ATCTGCTGAGGCTGCCAGGCCATCGAGTGGGACTGACTGCAGTGTCACCAACACGGTTTGCACCGGCTGTAGTAGTTTTGAGAGAAATAGTTCTCGGAAAAGACCGTTGTTGGGTGTTCGTGCACCGACAACTTCTCGCATGCGTGCGAGGACTTCAGTAGCTGAGTGGCTGCCTAGCTCGATGTTACGAAGTAATTCATCTAGGCGCTGGCGACCTGTCAGATCGATTTTCTTCGAGAGTGCGGCCTTAAGAAGTGCATTAGGATCACTTACTTCAGGATTAAACATATGTGCTGTAACATACCTGTCTAATTCTCGCGGTAGTGACCGTGTGACAGCAAGAAATCGAGAATGATGATCTGAGACACCCTGTTATCGAAAATCTGCCTCAGCATACAGAAACCACGTTTCCGCATTGTCTGGCCAATATGGCACGAGTTGGATAGTGTTCGTAGTCGGCTTGATAGGAATAGGCTTGGGAGTGTGGTCGGACATGAGAAAGTGCAGTAAATGGATATATAAATGTTATCGAAATGAAAACAGTATACAAATATAAAATGGAACAGGCTCACCAATCCAATATTTGTTATTGGTCGGTATATGTAATCACGTCCAGCTCACCAATTTAGGATTTGTCCTGGTGCGAACTTGACAGACGCAAAGACCAATCACTAATTATTCGGGCTTGTTATATACCCACGAATACGGGATCAAGGAAGAACACGATAGCGTAGTCGGATGGAATAGTATATTTGGATGGTTGTGCCAAAATACCGATGCGTTCCAACTAACTGGCTAGAGAGTCGAATACTAGCAATGCAACGTAACACGACAGCGTGTCAAATGGCGAGGATGCTTGACCGGGTGCCTTCAGCTTAGCGAGTCCAGTTAAACTATCAAGGTCAGCATCAATGTCGAAGTCGTCAAACCCTAGGCTATTGATTTTGGGGAAGTGTGTGACACTTCAACATATCCTGAAAAATCGTCTTTCCAGATCAATTATTGGGACTTTTTTTCAGCGACCAGTTAATTGGAGCAAATCGAAAATGTTTTGTTAAGAGTTGCGATAATCAGGAAGATCAAACGAAATAATACCGGAGACAAATGAATACAAAAAACAGAGTGCTAATGACGATATAAGAGTACAAAGATTAATCAAACATCCATGTGTCTATACCAGTTCACCTGCTCCTGTGGAGCAAGGAACATCGGCCGTAGTCAGAGATTGCTGCCAACACGTATACGAAAACATATTCCGGCCTGGTTTTATAAGGGTCAAAGGAAATGTATCAGAAGTTCTGTCATTGAGCATTTAATTGATTCCAAGCATTCAGCCGACCCAAACAAGGATTTCAAGGTTGTCTATCGAATTTGCCCCAACACTCCACGTTTCCTGCGTGTTCGACTTTTAAAAACAACAGAGGCTGCTGCTATCGATGAACTGAAGTCTAACCTTTGTGTGCAGAAGAAGTACGTACAGTCTTCGTCCCTATCTTGGCCTGAATTTTTTTAGTCTTGGTGTGCTTCTTTCCTTTTGTTTTTTCGTTCCTCATCTCCTTCTCCTATTCGTCACATTAATCCCTGTGCTCTTATATCGTCATTATCACTCTACTTTTATATTTAATTGTTTCCGGTGTTATTTCATTTGATCTTCCTGATAGTCCAAACTTCCGACAAAACCATGACGTCATCAACTATCAACATTATAATTTGACCACCATCATTATCATTGTTTCAACCCCCCATTATCTCAGTTAAATCTTCCTCACGGATTACAGTCTTTAAATATCATATATATATATATATATATATATATATATATATATATATATATATATATATACGAATTTACAGTTTGAGAATAAATCCGTTGAAAAGAGTCTTTTTCACTGAATATCTTGTTTTTTGTAAATTTTGACAACCCAATATCCTCTTCATATTTTCCATGTTACCCTTGATCATGCTGCATCCTGAAAGTTATTTTTACATGCGTTTCTATCGTGACTGGCATGGAATCTTAAGTTCTAAGGGACGAAAACCCCCAGTCTTTCTCCATTCGTGGGCTTCCAGTTATATTCAGTTGACAGCATAAATGTAACATGCGTCGTGTTTCAGACGTGCAATCTAGCATTTTTCAGAGTTGTTTGCTACCCCATTATCTGTCTCCCGTTTTAGAAGTCGATCAAAACTTCCTGTAAAAAATACCTTCCCAGCCTTTGATTTTTCTCCACAATTTTACGCTTCTGTATTAAAAGAAATGAATTCAGAGGAAACCTGTTGGTTCAAGTCATTTATGCATTATGGGAAAAGATTGGACTCTAGGAAATCCATTTGGACGTTCTGTTTTCCGGACAGGAAAGCTTGCTGGAACTCTGAATAAACAACCAAGTATGAGGGCGACCAATCGGTGAACGTTAAGTTGACCCCGGTCATCCTTCTCTATTAAGAAGGCAGTCATGTTTAACGCGACTGAACACTTCGGAAAAGTCGTGATAAATAACAGCGTTCCCACCGACAGTACTACCCCGCCTATCGACTGAGATGGGCAAGTTGTCAATACAGGAGCACTCCTTCCCAAATACGCGCTGTAAGATTATGGGTCAGTCAATATGTATGAAGCTATTCATCAATTTGCCATAAATTGACGACTACACTACTTTCGAAGGTAGGGATAAGAGACACCAGTTTGCAGGTCTCCAGGTTATTTCACCGACATCATTAAAGGCTGATGCTATGTCACCTGACTTCAAAGAATTGGTCACTTCTCTTGGTTCGGAGAATTCTTTAAAAGCCCACTGAATGGTCAGATCAAAAGTGGTGTTACTTCTCGTGAAATAGCCACATGAAATTCTTCCTGTTCAGGAGAGTTCCTTCGATGGTTATTTGCAGCTCGCACTGCAGTGGTTCCCCCCTTAAGTTAATGGTCACTGGGATATTTGTAAACTTCTGAGTATGCGATTGATGATAAAAAGATTTGCAAACGCCTATCACCTGGGTGTTCAGCTCCTTCAGCATCGTTACAGATGACCCATGGGGCCCTAGTATTTGAAAAACTCCCGTTCTAACGCGTCGGATCAAAGTATCATAACGAAACAAATTTTCTTGGTTAGAAATCGTGCTCCCGAGCTAAAACAGTATCAGCTGTCGATTGGCTTTCAATGTCATGTATATGGACATTTCTTGGTCTCTTCAGTAGTTTATATATGCTTACTGCCAGACGGTTTCTTTTTGAAGTTAGTAGCCTCAAAGTGGAGTCACCCATTGCCCTTAGGGAATTGTGGAGCTTCGAAGTTGATAATGAAACAAACCGGCTGTATCTGAAGGATCGTAGCAGTCATGCGGAAGACATAAAGTAGTCCCACTATGCCGCAAAGCAGTCCCAGACTCGGTGGAAATCAGACTGTGAAAAGCAGAGGAACTAGACTGACAGCCACAAGCAGTTTATCGTAAACTATAGCACCGTCAATGAGGAAGATAAGCATAAGGTCTGATGACTTCATTATCCACTTCAGAGTCGCACCAGCTGTCCATGAGACACTTGCATGCAACTTACACCAACAACAGGTACATTGCCATAGTGACAGCAAAGTACTCCAACCGTTCCATAGTCCCATGGACAAGCAACCATCCAAATGGTTCTGGTGCATTTGATCAGCGTGCAGAAGGCTCCCTACACTCCACAAAAAGGACCTTAAAAAACTATTCTCCAGCATACAGGAGCCATCAGCGTCTCTGAACAAAGCAGGGGCAATGTGGAAGGATAACACAGGGGTGGCCAGAAATCATCCAGGTCCGTAACCCTGAACTAGCACAAACGAAATCTGTTTCGGGCCAGAATTTCGCACTCCCCTACCCACAAGGAACACCAAACGCATGGAAAAAGATGTCGTGCGTGAGGACCCAGATTTAGCAAATCTAGAACATCCTTGACATCGTGACCGAGAAAGAACTCGGAAAAGTTCATGCCATACCCACCGGCAAATGCCGTGCATCCCCTACGAGAAACACAAATAATAAGGACCCAACTGGACCATCTCTTTAGGAGTAGGTAACTGACAAGCTGAGTGTTAGTCAGAAAGGAACAGTTTAACAGGGAAATTTGGGTTGACTACTGCCAAACACTAAGACTCTCCAGTCACCACGACACTGTAGCATTTCTCGAGAAAATTGGGGGCCTGTTTTTTCTCTAATGACTAGATGCATGCCTTATGCCTTAACTCTTCTTTGAACTCCCACATAAGTAGTCCTACTATCCTGGTATTTCCATCGAGGCACCTATGCAGACAGAAGTCACCCAAGTTCCTTAGTTGTCTCGGAAACCCATAGCTTCCTAACCAACTCAGTCTGCAAATTACGCATACCAACCCAAAAAATTATCCATCCCACTAGAGCTAAAAGCGAGGAAGTGGGAGAGATGTTCACGCCCACTACAGGGGTAAATCAAAAAAAGAAAGGCCAAGCCTAAGAGCTGGACACAAAAAGCCAAAAGCTACCAGTTTCCTAGGCACACACTACTGAAATTTGATGTTGTTGTTCTCTTCTCTCCGATTTTCCCATATCACCCTATCAGCTAAGGTCCCTCCTGTCATTGTTATCTTTCATGAATCCACTTGGGTTTGTCCTTCCCTTTCACTTCCCTTTCCGCTTATTTCACCTTTTTTCTTCGCACTATTCCCTCAGTCTGGCCGGATATCTTCCCATCTTTCCTGCCCTCTTTTTACAACCATCCGAACTAGTGTATAGTGGCACGATGTTTGAATAGCCCATCTGCACTACAGCCCTTGGAAAAATTATGAAATCCATTCAAGTTTAATAACCACCACACTTTGTCTTACTAAACAGCAGGCAAATGGGTACAACCTCTGCATCGGAATCCATCGAAGACCTGGAACCGTTCCACTCGACCAAGAAGAGAGAGTGGAGAAATCAATTTGTCTACATGACCTAGTAAAAGGATATTGGCTACTGAAGTCCGTTCACTCAAGGTCGTTGAAGTTGTAAGTTGGTGGAGGCTGTAGTCATGTTACTTGTTCTTAGAGAAATATCCCAATCAAAAGGTTCTTAATTTTCAGTTGTAGTAAAATGTGGGTAAGGTCTGAATGATAAATTAGTTTGCTTTTTTAATTTCGCTCGTAAATAACAGCACTTAGAGTATGATATAAATGTGTACGAGCAAGATTTGGTAGTTTTTGTATATTTGTGTTGACCAAAATTTGTTAGTTATGTGTGCGCTATGTTGTAGAACTTTAATTTGTAGTTAAATTAAACCGTACCACTATAGCTGAGCCAAGCATACTGTTGTATTAGTTGCAAATAATATGATAGGACGGTTAGAAAAAAATACGACACATCGATTCCAAGCCATGTCAGAAAGGTTTTAAGTCATTTTGACTCTGGGTTGAAAGTCTGTACGCTCTGCAAGGACCATATCAATATTCCAAGTCTTCATGAACTCAAGTTACGTTAAAGTAGTGTTATCCAAAGCGGCCATGCGTAATCGCGTATCAGCAAACAACGGTCATGAATATCACTTGTTCCTTGCTGTAATTTTAGTGAAGGTAGTCAATGTAGTCTCTCTATGTGGGCTAAAAAAAACGAAGTCTTCTATATATCTTAAGTGACACCAAGATTGCTTGGGACGTGTTTCTCACGACTCAAATGCAAACTGCAACTTCAAGACTGGTTTACATTAGTGTTCTATCTATCACTCAGGGAAGCTTGGAAACATTGTCAAAGTGTAGTGCACAAACATCACGTGGCGTCCACCAGCATCAAACCAACAATAAACACAGGTAGATCATATTGCTATAAGCTGTCGTTGGAGAGAATCAATGGAAGATTACCGCTCTTTCTGGAGCACCAGTTTGAACTCGGATCACGCGTTAGTACAGGCTCGTGTATTTCTGCACATTACTGGTCTCAGGATACAGGCGATAGTAAAGCCTGTCTATGGTCGATTGTAAGATGAGGACGCCAAGTACGTATTTAGGGAGTCAGCTAAACACTTATCTGGACGTGATAGTAATATTCGTCCTGAGGAAGCTTGGTTTCATATGCTGTCTGCTGTAGAAAGCCGGAGAAAACAGTTGGTAACCTACACCCGAAGGTTAGCAAACGCTATTGGATTCCCGCGACTTCATCCAGACTGATTGGTGCTCAAGACTGATTCCAGCTGGCTCTGACCTCGATAAAGAGCGAAAGAATTAGGTTAACATCTGATAACTATTTCATTTTAATAAGGATACCGGCAAGAAAACGACAGTGAGTGAAACCGCCACCGAAGAGGAATGAACGCTGATAACCTTTCAGGATGGGCTGCTAGAACGTTGGGCAGGACACTTCTAAGTATGGTTCAACTGGCTCACAGAAACACTTCAGTTGCCCAACATCCAGCTTGAACCTGAATGGCAAGTAAGTATTTGTCCTGAAAGTCTCGTTGAGGTTGAGAAAGCTGTTTCTAGCCTGAAACGATGCAAAAGAACAGGACCTGATAGTTTGCTACCCCGCATTTTTAAGGATGGTGGTCGAGAATTGCTGATTAAAGTGACGGGTTACTAGGTAGTGCTGCAGACTAATCTACTTCACTGATCACTGTAGTATATTGAAAAAGAGAGAAGTCTTGTAACAACCATAGGGGAACCAGTCTGACTAATGTCATGTCCAAGAACCTGGGATCCATAGTTTTCAGACGCCTTAGTGGAGCTCGAGAACAGAAAAGTCGAGAAAACTCGTCAGGTTTCAGGCAAACCTGGAGGTCCAAATCATCCAACCAAATCAACACAGGACCAGGCATTACTGCGTAACGGTCCGAGTTGCCTCAGGTCATATCGGTACGTCAAGTAGAAAAGCAGTGAAGTGGACGATAAAAAAAAAGGTAAATTCAGCCAAAGGGAGTGTAAAGTACGAAAAGAGAGAAAGGAAGAATAAGAAAACGATGAGATTCGGTATAACGTCGTTAAGATGATAATAATGTGTGGATACATCTGCGCTACTGACATCGATTCTGAACTATCTCACCTAGAGTCTCCAGCCACTGGTTTCTCTTGTCCAGCGGCCCGCAACCACCTAGTTTGCATCGCCCCACGTGGTTCAACCAACAGTTATAGACCTCACACATCAGTGCCATGTTTTGGTCTGGCCGCTTTGAGCCTTTTTCCAGCCTGGACCTACTTCGGCCAACGTTGTGTGACGAAGCAGTCGGCGACTAGGCATACGTAACACATATCTCAGCCATTTCAGTCGATGAAGGTTCACAACCTCGTCGACGGACTTACCTCTCCTCCCAAATATTCTACACCTGAGCCTGACTTCTGGGTTACTCACGTGGTGACACCTTGTAATACGGCCTGTATTGCGAAGGCAACGGTGGCCAAACACCTGAAGCCAGCCTTCTCATGTTTTCCACCTTGAATGGCCATGTTTCACAGCCATATAGTAGAACAGACCGGATTGCTGTACAGTACGCGCGACCCTTAATAGACAATCGGATATCACGGTGGCGCCACAGAGGGCGTAATTTAGCGAAAGCCAACCGAGCCTTTTGTATCCATGCCGAGATTTCATTAGCCACTGACCCACCAGGGTAGGGCTGATCCTAAGTGAAGTGGTCGACACACTCAATCACTTCACTCTCTATTGTTAACCGCGGTACAGCTGAAGACCAGTCCTGGAGCAAAAATTTGCATTTGGTGGTGAAAACGCATCCCAAACATTCTCAAATTGCCACTCAATGTGTCCAGAAGACTCTTCCTTTTGTCAGCGTCTTCACCTAACAGGACTATGTCATCTGCATATTCTAGGTCTAACTAAAATTCTCCCGCGATTAGGTCAACCTCTATGTAATCAGGTGACGAGAGGGAGACCTCCATGAAAATATCTACGATAAAATTGAATAAGAATGGAGAGAGTGGGCACCGTTGACGGATACCACTCGACGAGTACAGCTCTCCGGACATCTCAGCATAGGTTCTAACACACCAGAAAGTCTTCGAATCGAGAGCCTTCAATAAATAAGGTGGTGTACTTAATCAGCACCCATTTTAGTGTGATACATTGCCATAATACTTCTCGATCAACGGAGTTGAATGCCATCACCTTCAGGTCGAGAAATACAGCCACTCTTCCGGAGTTGGCTACGGTCTTCAGCGCTGCTTTTACAGCAGACTAGAGATGGCACCAAGTTTCTTCTAGATGAGTGATAGTCTTCTGTACCGATAACTGCCTAGCCAATTTTTCACTGAAAGCGGCTTTCATGTTTGTTTTCTTGTCGAACTGCACTCGTAATGGTTTTGTTGCCAAATTTTTCCTACGTCCATTGAGACGCAGACATATACGTGCTATCCAAACACATAGGCCAAAGGTAGCAGCAGTCTACCACCGATTCTCTCCAGCGATGATTAATAGCAATGTGGTCTATCTGTGTTCATCGCTGAGTTGAGCTCGGTGGACGCCACGTCAGACGGTGCCTTTCTTTACGTCAACTAAAAATAAACGGTTATCTGAGCATAGTTGTAGTAAGCAATCACTGTTATCTGTTCGTTCGGCCGGGACTCCGAAAGTCTCACCTAAGTGCCCTTCTGCCTCACTCAATCTACCCACCTGTGCATTGAAATCATCTGTCACAGCCACCACGTCTGAACGTTTGGCTTTCAAAAGGTTAGACAGCTTTCGGTAGAACTCGTCCACCACTTCATCCGAACTGCAATCATTGTGTGCGTAAACAGAGACTACATAGAGACAACGGTGAGTTTCACTATTCCTTTTAGTTCTCACTGCGCTGTTCAGCCGGATAGCGCAGAGGTGACTGTCAACTGGGATCCAGTCTAGTAGTGAGTTTTCTGCCCTAGTGCTTAGTGCTATGCATACATTTGCAAGACTGTGGGAGCTAGCTATCGAATCTCCAGAAACTCGAAGAGCGGATTTTGCGGATTCACCAGATTGGTCGGGAGAGGTTAGGTGAATAACCGCACTTGGGTTCTGTATGCGTGTCTCATCTCACAAGCACAGCATAAATCCATAGTTTGAGTTGCTGGAGTCTTTGCCAACAAAGCCTGTTGACCAACTTGACTGAGGGTACAGAAATTGAAGGCTCTAATATGTAATTTGGAGCGTGGTTTAAGGAGACCGAGTATGCTCTTCTGTGGATTCAGATCGTTGTCAAAGGGTGTAGAGCTAGTAAATATTGAAGATGATGTAGTATCGTTAGTTGAGAGACGTGAAGGAAGATTAGAAGGTAACGATGGGCGGGGGGGGGGTGGATAGCTGTCTGAGGAAACTTGAGTGCTGATAGAGTTGACACTTCCCGGCTGCCCACACCGTGGAAGGCTTTTCTTCTTAAGGTGCGTGGAAGAGGTTTGTGTGACCGCAGAACTCATCGGACATTTGCTTGAGGCCTGTCACACTCAGCCTTTTGCGTATGGTTATTTTAAACTTTTGTTGTTTTGGAGCTGGATGGTTGAAAACAACCGACAAATGAACCAACTCTGCCGGCCCGGAAGATTGTGGGGTCTGGTGGAGTGTGTTATTTTTGGGGCCGACCCTTTCTACCCCCCTTTCCATTGAGAAGGCAACATCAGCATGGCACTGCTAGTCATCCAAGGGAAACACCTTACTGTTATCACTCCATCCAACTAGCAGCAGTATGACTTCGCCCTCAGACCCCCATCATAGTGTAGTAATTTACACCACAACGGTGTCTGCTTTTCGTCTAACCACTGTTCAACAGACTTTTCTGGTATGGTAGTACCTCGAGGAAACATGTGTTCCACCAGCATAGCTCGTTTGGTCATTGTGATATGCAAGCCCGACCACTACATCAAGATAGCAGCTATTGGTCTCCTCTTATTTTGTCTTGCGTGGTATTCCATTTCCAAGTTTCTCCTTTAGCTTTCTTTTCTCCTTTCAGGCTCAACTTGACGATAAAATCCGAAAATCAGATTTCAGGCAGACCTGGAGGAGGATGCGTCGATCAGATTTTCACCCTCCGACAGGTCCTGGAACACAGGCATACTTACCGGCGGCTGACATTTGCTATATTTGTTAACCTGAAGACAGCATTTGACTCAATTGCCCCTTAGGTATTGTGACAGTGTCTGACTATGTAGAGAGTACTTAACAAATGCATGACGCTTATCAAAGCTCTCTGTTTGACCTCACCCAGCTGTGTAAGAGCTAATGGAGAGTTGTCGTGAGAATTGACGGAAACTAGTGGTGTTTACCAGGGGTGCCTACTCACTGTTCGTATTTAACTTTGTTATTTCTATCAATGGACATAACCTTCGGAATATCTGACTTCACACGGATCGATCTACTCTCTGGATGTCATCTGGTTGACTTGTAGTATGTAGACGATGTTGACGCAATTTAGGGTCTTCTGAACCCAAGCAGAAATCTGAGTAAGCCTAACTTGCTTCTCGAACCTGTCAGATGTGGACGCTCCAGGAGCGTACTGCTGCAAGTACTCCCATTTTAATACTAGGCAGTGAAGTGGTGGAATGTGTTGACCACTTCACCTACTCGGGGAGCTGCATCCGCCTGAACGGGCTGATTGCTGACGAAATCTCAACTCGGTTAGAGGAGTCCCATTTGGCACTTGCTAAATTTAGTCATCTGTGGCGCCAACTGACAAGATATCCGACTATCTGTCAAGGGATGAGTATACTACACTACAATCTGTTTTTTTCTGTTATACGGCTGGAGGGAGACATGACTGTTAGAAGTAGAAGATATGAAGCAGTTACAAGGTTTTTATCATAAATGTCGTCGCAGTAATTCTCGCGATTGGTGAAATCACCGTGTGAGCAATGTTGAGGTCAGGCGAAGGGTATAAGGCGAGACAGAGAGGTCGACTGATGAGGTTGTGAGCCTTGATCAACTGGGATGGCTTGCATATGTACTGCACATGCCGAGCCACCACATACCTCGATGTGCCATGCCTTAGTAAGTTGGATTAGGTAAAAAGAGGTTTCAGAGTGGCCAAACCAAGACTTGGCACCTGTGGATGAAGTCTCTTAATGTTGACCTGAGTTGTGTTGGTAGATGTAACCTACCTGGCTGGGGTGACGAGACGATGCGAATGAGTGGTTGAAGACTTGGTGATATAACTGAAATCTAAAGCTCGAATATTCTAACCAACTTTTATTTTCACATTGTTTATCCTCTCACACTATTTTATTTGCTTTGGTATCACTTTATCTATCGATTTATTTTTTGTGCACTGCTGTGAAATGTGGCAACTTGAAGCGATACGCTTATGTTCAAGGTTCTACGTTGACTTTACATGACGCATAAATATCCCACTACTCATAAAAGAAGAGTGGTGTGTAATCCTTTTTTGGCTACCCGCATCAGCGTCTTTTAAACTAGCAAGTACGCGTTAACCGATCCATATCTGCTCCGAGCGCAGTGAGGAGCGAAGGAAGCTTAAATGGATACCGGCAATAAGCACAATAGCCATAAGAAGTAGTGAATGAAGGGGATAAAAAAGGTGGTGGTAACGGGCAACAGTAGTCACTTATTCAGGTCTGTCAATGGAACTGAGTCAAGAACTCAATGGTTGGTGAAATTATAGCGAATGAAGATGGGTCTGCGATTAACTTGCAAGAGAGATGATGAGCAAAATACTTCTTCGAAGACCAATGCAATTAACTTCGAGCCTCTCCGGTTGCCCACTATGCAGTCGAATTCTGAATGGAACATTACAGAGACTTAGACAAATGTCGGTAACCTTAAGCAAATAAGGATAGTCGGTACTCATTGACCTGCATCAGAGATATTTACGATAGGTGGATTATTGGTTAGAGCAACTGAAGTATTGACTGCCGTCAACATTCCTTAATTTGTCTCAAACGCTAGTTATTCTTCTCTGTCAGCAAAATTGATGGACCATTATGACAAGCTAGATTTTGTTTCCTGTAACAACCAGTGGCCCACATGAACAGAAAAGCCTTGGTCACGGGTGTATCGACCGGATCTGGAAACAGGCACACTTATCGGCACACAACACTAGTTATATTTCCTAACCTGAAGGCAACATTTGATTCCATCAATCAAGAGGTCTTATGACAGTGTCTGTCACTCAAAGGAGTGCTAGGGAAATACATCACTGTGTATTCGAACACACATGGTCGTGTTGGAACCCATGACGAGGTATCAAGTAAGTTTTGTAGGTCCCATTGTATCCGTCAAGGTCATCCACTCTCTTGATACTCAATTAATTTTGTCATAGGTGTGCTTGTGGATGTTGTCTTTTTCTCTTTGTCTGAATGTACCGGATTGAGGTTGTCACAGGTGACTCATTAATAGACATATAGTGGGTAGAGGTTGGTTGGTTGGTTGGTAGGTAGGTAGGTAGGTAGGTGATGTTGTTGTGTTAGGTGGAGATGTCTGGAAGGTGCGGAGTTTTCTGGAGGCCTTAAGTTCTAATTTGAGAATGTTTGGGATACGTTTAGTGGCAAGCGAATGCGAATGCGAATTGTTTCACGATGACTGATATGCGTTGTCTATTGATCTAGCGATGGGGCGTGAAGTGGTTGAGGATGTTGACGTCTTTACTTGCTGGGGAAGATTGTTCAATCGTGATGGGTCAGTGTTCGACAAAATCTCTGTGTGTACACAAATGGTTCGCTTTGTTTTTGCCAAATTACATCGAATATAGCATTGGTGAGATATGTGACTACTTATTGATGTCTTCGGAAGCTTGAATGTTTTGACTAGCCTTGCTTTTTAAATCCCTTCTCCTCCCATACTACTTTGTGTACTTTGATTTCAATCTTTTTCTTACCACTTGTTCTTTGTATGGTGGTGTGTAGTAAGGCAACTTTAAACGATGCACCTGTGTGTTAGGTCCTACATTGATTTTTTCTATGTTTATCTGTCATTGGGGGTCGAGTGTACTGCGCTGTTGTTTGATGTGTCGCACTTTATCACTGTGAAACATGTTTATTGGAGGTGGAGGACTTGAGAAGGCTGTATGTATTCGACCAGCGTTATCTTTGTAGCGTCGGTTATGTCATGGGACCAGCTCGCTAGCAATAAGAAAATGTCACGTTTCACTTTTGCTTTGTCGACTCTGTTTTTCTCCTTACTTCTTTCTACGGCTTTTCCTATGCCACTTTCATTTTCTTGTCTTTCATGTTGTTGCTTTTTATCTTGATGTGCAGAAGTGATGTGTGGCACCTCGAACTTTCATACATTTCTGTCAGGTCACATGGTGGTACTGACTATAAGGAAATGAAGCAGTCAGTATGTTTGTGGTGTAACTAAGTACTAATGTGCAAGTCTGCGCACTAGTTTGTAATAAGACTGGTTGTGTAGATGCTAATGATATTTGGATGTTCCGGAAGCTCTGTTAGTTTAACCAGTGTAAGCTAGTTATTCACTAGTTGCGGGTTGAGTACTCTGTGCACGGTGCCCACTACTGGGTTTCAGATTTATAGTATTTGCAATCATATAGATGTGGAGAGTGGTTAAAGAATATAGGTATATGATTAATTTATTGGTAATCTTATTGTGAACTTATTTGCGTGTATATATGTGCTTTATTTTCGTAGATAGGTGCTATTGATTCGTTATGACCGCAAATTATGAATACATGCCACTAGCAAAGCAGGATCCCGATGTTGAATATCCATTGACAGTTAAATATTGTGGTGGTTAGTGCTTTTGTTTGTATAATAACTCAACATAGAATGCACTATGCCTTTGGAGTATTGTGAATTTTCACTGTTTCCTGATAAATGCCGAGCGTGGTTAGAAAAAAATCTACCTGAAGAATTTGAGCAGCTTACCACTGGTGTGTTTTTTTATTTGTCAGTACTTTTACTTTGAAGATGGAGCTGAATCTAATCAGACAGAAGCAGTACATAAAGGCCGTCAAGTAAGGGGCGGTAAAGGAACGATCAAGAAACCGGCGAAACAAAAAATAATAGTTTCTAAAACTTCAAGAGGCAAGAAAAAGTACACAACCAGCGTCAGTGGATTATCCACATTTGGTAGGTATAATGGGAGTTTTTGTGGTTCATATGCCACTATGAATTAACTGCGTTTTCATGATTTTCATTTAAATTTGTGCTTAATAGTGGAAATATAAACAAGATCTTTTCAATTCGAAAAAAAATGCTTGTTTCATTGTCATGAAGCGTTAAGTGTATATTTTTGCAGTGACTTCTCGGTTTTCAGCCGTCTCATCACTGCTTACATAAACAGGTTATCAAAGTGTAATATAGTAGCTTAAGTTTCATCTTTTACTCGTTTATAAGATAAAACCTGGAATATTAGGTGATAGTTTAATATAACTTAGCATCAATCGATACTTAGAATTCCTTCGTATTTTATTTCATTGAGTTGCTTCTGCCACAAAACGTGACTAAAATTAAAGCAGTCTTGCAAAAATTTAATGGACACTTACAGAGAAGGGCGATTGAAGTTTTCGTGAATATCAAAAGTTTCAGGCAAGTCATAGCAAAACAAATTTTGGCTGGAAAAGTTCGTCTTCATAAATAATTTGGTTGTCCACATAAAGCAGCTGAGACTTAGATATAGGTGAGGTTGACTTATAATCTCAGAAAAAAATTATGGAATATGTTTTTAAGTATATATATATATATATATATATATATATATATATATATATATATATATATATATATATAAAAGCAGTGTGCTATTTCATTGAGGCTTGCTCAGTTGAGTATTATATTGCTTGAGTATGATTAAATGTTACTGTACTGGCAGAAGAATTAACATAGGACCCGCAAAAAAGGTGTATCGGTTCAAGTTGGCACATTTCATTGCAGCATGCAAGGAATGAGGGGATAGGAGAGTGATAACAAGGTAAACGTAAGAATATGAGAGGGTGAAGAAAAAATTACTGATGGTAAATGGAGATGTTGAAACTAATGAAGAGTGAATAAATTCACACCATTGTGACCTATTTTCAACCGTGTTACCAATAGTCTTCATCCACTGATTCCTATCGTTCGTTGTCACATCTCTTCTCAGCTGAGACCACTAGTCGAACGCTTCATCGACTGATGCCATGTTTTAGTCTGACCACCTGTAGCCTTCTACTAGCTACCAGTAAGCATGGATGTGTTCCTAAACTTGCCGAAGGAGGAAGATCTGACCCATTCACCCCCGTTCAGGCCTGTAACCTGCCTGGTTCCTCAAGTTGGTTACCCTCAACCCAAAGTTACACATCAGATTACTATGGACCCTAGGAGCTTAGTTGAGACGTTAGTCAGACTGTCACCCATGTGGTTGTCTCTGAAATACCTCTATCTCTTGCTATAAACTAGAGTGATTTGTGATCTAGACCAGTCTAGCGGGAATATCTCTAATCCCCATACACTAGCTTGCTCTTTCGGTAATATAACCAGTAATTCCCCACCTCCTCCCCCAAGAACCGCTGGTGACCAACCGTCAAGTTCGTCTGTTTTCCATCGTTTGGCATTTGAAATAACTTTCTCATTCTCGATGAGTTGAAGGACCAACATCTACGTCTCATTCAGACTCGGTCTGAATGTTGAACAACTGAAGCGTGCTTGTAGGCCAGTTGAACTGTTTGTAAATTGTCCTTCTTGCTCATCTGTCCTGAGAGGTTATCAGTGACTCATATTTCGGCGAAAGTCTCACTCAGCATTGCATTTCTCCTGGCAGTATCCTCAATAAACCGAAATAATTGCGGAGTATTACCTGATGTTTAGGGTTTGTCCACCGCTCTCACTTTTGCTTTCGCCATCCGCAATCATTGTGAAAACTCTTAGTCAATTTACGTTTAAGCTGCTTTCACTGTTCATTGTAGTCAGAATCAACTGAAGTGAGTCTTCTCGCATCAACCATTTTAGATGAGGTTGTGGAAATACACTGGCTTTCACAAACCTGTGAATGCAGGTTACTAACTGTCTTCATCACTGTTTCTAGAACAGACTGAATATTATGCCTGGCTTCAGCAGGATGAGAATTGTTGCTGTGTTGAGATAAATGCTTAGCTATATCTTCTCCAAATATGCACTTGATATTTACATCTTCTAGTTGATCAGATAGAAGGTTACTGCTATTTGTTTTCCGTATCGACTGAATACCAGACATGTACCTGGATTACCGCACGATCGGATTCCACGCGAGTACTCTTAAAAGAATGCCAATTTTTCAGCGTTGCCTTCCGGCGTTTGATTGTGGCAATATGATTTATCTGTATTCACCGGTATTTTGATCTGGGTGAATATTTTGCTAACCAGAAACAAGTGAAGGTCTGAACAGAATCCTAGAAGACAACCACCGTTATCACTTTCTTATCGTGGAATACCTCAAACGCTTTCAAGACGCCTTTTCGACTGGTCCAATCAACTACTTGAGCGTTGAAATCCCCCTCTACTATGACTATATGTGGGCATTTTGCTTTATCTAGCAAAATTGACAGTTTTTAGGTCGGACTCATCATTTTTATTGACTGAATTGCAGTCATCAGGAGCATAGGTGGACACTGCGAATTGACATCTTCGAGCGTCCCGGTCTTTTCCACTTGTTTCAAAGCCGTTCCATAGAAAATTGTGTGGACAGCTGTCTACTGATATCCAGCTTAGAAATTCTCTTTTTATTACAAAATTCTATGCTGTGCCTACACCACTGAGTTCATTCGAGCTAATCAATAAATCTCTGTAGTCGTAAAGTAAGGTTTTTGGACCGACCACATTTGCCAGATGAGGTTAAGTAGCAATACGGGTTCTGCGTGCGCGTCTCAGAAACAGCATACATCTATGGATTGCGATTCCTGAGTTTTGTTAAGTGACACCTTTTGTTTTACGTGGGATGGGATGTGTACGTTGCAAGCCCCAACGTAAAGCTGGCAGCATGTGTTTGTGAGGCTAAGAATAGTATTTTTCTGGCTTGGATCGTTAGCAACGGTTTGAGGGTGAGAGGTGGAGGAAGCTGTAAGAAGTCTAATTTTGGTATTGGGAAGTAAAAGCCAAGGCAGGAAACAAAGGTTGGGGAAGTAGGTTATGGTTTGTTGGGTTTTTTATGCTTCTAGAAGCGTGCAAATGTTTGGTACTTCCCGGTTACCAATATCATGGGAGTTGTTTCTGTAAGATGAAGTATCTTTAAAGGGAAACAATACTACTTTTACGTGTCTTTAGAGCCCAAGAGACATCTCAGTGGTCGGTCACAAAGCCTTTTCAGGAGTTTTTTTTGTTGAGATTGAACCGTTCTACCCCTGGAGGCGAAAAAACACACACCATCTGCACCAGAGAACCGCGGGACTGAGTAGAGAGTACTATTTCTGGCGCCAACGTTTGTATACTCCTTTTCTATAGAGGAGGCAGGGTTAGAATAGGCCGCTGTCACACGCCGATCAACTAGCCGTACAACTTCGCCTTCGAAACTCTGGTGTAACCTGATCTGTTTCTCTGTGGCTAACTGATTTTAGTTTCCACACTATCCAGCGGACCTTTAAGGCAATATAAGACCTCAAATAACAATTGTCCCAACTGCCAAAGCTTTTTGGACCATTTTGCTATGCAAGCCCAACCGCCACGTCAAGGTAGCAGCTTCTGTATTGACCTTTCCTGTGAATATAATTACTTTAATTGAAGTTAAATTGTAAGTTTCGATATTGTTATCTTCATATGAAACAGTAATACCACCCTAGAATATATGCACTTTTAAAAACTACGAATCGTCCTCTATTTCGAGAAAACATTTCATCTGAAGTGCCTTGACTTGGTTAAAAGTACCATCTGTTGGATTACTGTTTGTGAAAGGAAATGTATTTTTGGGTGCATTTTTCGTGGTTGTCTTATAGGGTGTTGAATGGAGTTTGCATAGTAAGCATAAATCTGTTCTGATAACAGGTTTTGCGGGTTTCAGTGACAAATTTTTAAATTGCGGTGGGAACACTAATTTCTTCAAAAGATGAGTGGAGCTTGTTACTTATGGCTTTCTGTCTTCCGATTGATTTAATAAATCAAACCAGTTGACAAAAATGTACAAAAACCTCGATAGTCAATCCAACTACTCAGAGTAATGTGTTCAGATTTCATTGCAAAGCATTGTGATCTCGTATCGGTTTTGGAAACCACTGTCTATAAACCAAGCAAATCCTAGCGTTGTTTGATACTTGTAATCTCCTGTTGCTTTACTGGGTCGAATTGCTCGACTTCTGTTGGTGGATGGGCTCCTATAATATAGCAACTGAAGATTACAAGTATCAAACAACACCTAATACCCGTTACATAAGAGGTGGCTGTCGTGTCCAAATAGTCTAGTGAATAATGCTTGAGCGATTAAAGCGATGGGCATTAGATTCAAGTCTCTGTTGAAACAATATCACTCACTGGGTCCAGGTACAGCAAGATGAAGATTCCAAAGTAGGACGAAACGCACGTCCCGGATTCCACTGCTAGCCACCAAGCAAAATAAAAAAGATTCTAACTTTATGATTGATCTGTGTAAATTAAATAGCTTTTTGTAATTTTTATTTGTTCAAGGAATCGATCTGAAAGTGGCTGCCAAATTATTTGGTCGTAAATTTGCAACTGGTAGCTCAGTTACAGGAAATGACGACGAAATTGTAGTTCAAGGTGATGTGAAGGAGGAACTGATTGAAACGTTAATCGAAAAATGGCCAGAAGTGAGTTAGTTTTGATTTTGTCGCTGATTCTATAACTTGAGTGAGTATGTACTAGAAAGGTGCCCACATTCTTTCCACATGGACATTGAACGAGCTTCTAGCATTTTCATTGTCGTAATGTTTTAACATGTGTCTGAGTAGAACATTATTATACACATACAATATATAGTAATGTAGTATACATATAATATAATAAGAGAACTATCATGCAAGTGTGCTCTACTACGATGTCCAGATTCTACTCTTATATTATTTTCAATCCATATTTCTCTCCTAGTTAACTGTGTAACATGAAGTGGGATATGTGGTTTATTTACTTAGGCGGCTTATTTTCAACTCGTGGGTCCTTGTTCAAAGGCTGTCCTGCCTGAAGACTTTCTAACAACCAGTATCACTTGAACTCACACGAAATGTGACCAATAGCCTAGTATGCAGAACTACATATGGTTGCTGGGTTGCACTAATCTCATCATATTATCATAAAGTAAGACTCATACTTTGAATCTATTAAAGTGTGAAGTTTATCTTAGATAGATATTCTGAAGGGTAAACGTTATCTTTTGTTTCAGGTTTTTATTTATTGAATTACTTTGTTCGATGCGCTTCGAAACGCCAGTTAGATGTTCAGTCTTAGGTAGTTTCACTCCTTGACCACACCTAGCCCTCCTATCAAACCATCCCTTTTCTTAAATTTGTCACTTAGTCAGTTTAAGGATGGGGAATAAAGTTATTGAATGCGTTGACCACTACTTGAGAAGTGGTATCACGTCAAATGGGTTGAATGCTAACGAAATCTCAACTCAGACACAAAAGCGTTGTTTGGAATTTGCCACCTTACGCCACTCATGACACTAGTGAAATGTCCGACTACCGAATAAAAGACGTGAGTGTACTACACTGTAGTCTACTTTGTCGTGTCATACGTGTGTGAGACATGGCTGTTGAAAAAAGATGATATGAAGCGATGATAGGGTTTTGAGTACAGTTGTCTTCGCAACATTGCTCGCGTGTGGTGGAATCACCGTGTTAGCAATGTCGAAATTAGGCGAAGGTCATTGGGATAGGAAGGTAAGTCAGTCAATGAAGTTGTGAACCTCTTGTGATTGATGAGTGGGTTGGAGGTGTGTTTTGTGTGCCGAACCATTTGCCGTCTGTATGTGTTAGCTAGAGTAGGATTTGGTTTGAAGTAGGCTCAATGTGGGGAGACGGAGACGTAGCGCCAGTCGATGATGTATCTGACTGCTTGTGTAATGTGGCATGGGGGGTCTAACCTGTCTAGTTAGGGTCCTTGAGATGATAAATGCCAATGGATGGAGCCTGATAAATCGCCGTTATAGGTAAAGGACAAGAGAAGGCCTTGGGCGTTCGACCACCATTGCCTTCGTAATGCAAGCTATGTGTTGTGCTACCACCATATCAGTGTTGCAAAAGTAAGGCGTAGAGTTTTAGGGAAAAGGGAAAGTTGTTTCATGATGTTGTGTTTAGTGTCATGAAGCATGAACTTTCCTCATAACAATCAAGGTTACTGCAGACATTTATCGTTATGGGTAACTTCATTTTTCATGTGGGAACTATGGTTAGATCGTATCGAATAATCTATGAGTAATGTATGTAAACTGTCACAAAAGTGTTATGAACTTGTGTGCTGATGACTACATTTTATTGATTAGTTTGAATCCCTTCTGAGATATCCAGTTGACATATGCCTTGCTAATTGTCAAGTGCGTCCACGTGAAGTTGATGAACAGAAAAGCCTTGGTCACGGGTGTATCGACCGGATCTGGAAACAGGCACACTTATCGGCACACAACACTAGTTATATTTCCTAACCTGAAGGCAACATTTGATTCCATCAATCAAGAGGTCTTATGACAGTGTCTGTCACTCAAAGGAGTGCTAGGGAAATACATCACTGTGTATTCGAACACACATGGTCGTGTTGGAACCCATGACGAGGTATCAAGTAAGTTTGTAGGTCCCATTGTATCCGTCAAGGTCATCCACTCTCTTGATACTCAATTAATTTTGTCATAGGTGTGCTTGTGGATGTTGTCTTTTTCTCTTTGTCTGAATGTACCGGGATTGAGGTTGTCACAGGTGACTCATTAATAGACATATAGTGGGTAGAGGTTGGTTGGTTGGTTGGTAGGTAGGTAGGTGATGTTGTTGTGTTAGGTGGAGATGTCTGGAAGGTGCGGAGTTTTCTGGAGGCCTTAAGTTCTAATTTGAGAATGTTTGGGATACGTTTAGTGGCAAGCGAATGCGAATGCGAATTGTTTCACGATGACTGATATGCGTTGTCTATTGATCTAGCGATGGGGCGTGAAGTGGTTGAGGATGTTGACGTCTTTACTTGCTGGGGAAGATTGTTCAATCGTGATGGGTCAGTGTTCGACAAAATCTCTGTGTGTACACAAATGGTTCGCTTTGTTTTTGCCAAATTACATCGAATATAGCATTGGTGAGATATGTGACTACTTATTGATGTCTTCGGAAGCTTGAATGTTTTGACTAGCCTTGCTTTTTAAATCCCTTCTCCTCCCATACTACTTTGTGTACTTTGATTTCAATCTTTTTCTTACCACTTGTTCTTTGTATGGTGGTGTGTAGTAAGGCAACTTTAAACGATGCACCTGTGTGTTAGGTCCTACATTGATTTTTTCTATGTTTATCTGTCATTGGGGGTCGAGTGTACTGCGCTGTTGTTTGATGTGTCGCACTTTATCACTGTGAAACATGTTTATTGGAGGTGGAGGACTTGAGAAGGCTGTATGTATTCGACCAGCGTTATCTTTGTAGCGTCGGTTATGTCATGGGACCAGGTCGTTAGTAATTGAAAAATGTCTCAGGCGAAATACTGAATTCTTCTGGGAGGCTGTAGTCGTACATTGAGTTAGGTAGCTAGGATATGCGTTACTCATACGTGCACATCGAGGCCTTCGATGTTCGCACCCTCCTTCAAATTGGTGAATATGCTTCATTGGCAAAGACTCCAGCAACTCAAACTATGGATTTATGCTGTGCTTGTGAGATGAGACACGCATACAGAACCCAAGTGCGGTTATTCACCTAACCTCTCCCGACCAATCTGGTGAATCCGCAAAATCCGCTCTTCGAGTTTCTGGAGATTCGATAGCTAGCTCCCACAGTCTTGCAAATGTATGCATAGCACTAAGCACTAGGGCAGAAAACTCACTACTAGACTGGATCCCAGTTGACAGTCACCTCTGCGCTATCCGGCTGAACAGCGCAGTGAGAACTAAAAGGAATAGTGAAACTCACCGTTGTCTCTATGTAGTCTCTGTTTACGCACACAATGATTGCAGTTCGGATGAAGTGGTGGACGAGTTCTACCGAAAGCTGTCTAACCTTTTGAAAGCCAAACGTTCAGACGTGGTGGCTGTGACAGATGATTTCAATGCACAGGTGGGTAGATTGAGTGAGGCAGAAGGGCACTTAGGTGAGACTTTCGGAGTCCCGGCCGAACGAACAGATAACAGTGATTGCTTACTACAACTATGCTCAGATAACCGTTTATTTTTAGTTGACGTAAAGAAAGGCACCGTCTGACGTGGCGTCCACCGAGCTCAACTCAGCGATGAACACAGATAGACCACATTGCTATTAATCATCGCTGGAGAGAATCGGTGGTAGACTGCTGCTACCTTTGGCCTATGTGTTTGGATAGCACGTATATGTCTGCGTCTCAATGGACGTAGGAAAAATTTGGCAACAAAACCATTACGAGTGCAGTTCGACAAGAAAACAAACATGAAAGCCGCTTTCAGTGAAAAATTGGCTAGGCAGTTATCGGTACAGAAGACTATCACTCATCTAGAAGAAACTTGGTGCCATCTCTAGTCTGCTGTAAAAGCAGCGCTGAAGACCGTAGCCAACTCCGGAAGAGTGGCTGTATTTCTCGACCTGAAGGTGATGGCATTCAACTCCGTTGATCGAGAAGTATTATGGCAATGTATCACACTAAAATGGGTGCTGATTAAGTACACCACCTTATTTATTAGCTAGGTCGGTGGATATGTGCTGTGTCTGTGAAACGCGCATATGAAACCCGTGTGATTATTCACTTAACGTCACCGCACCAATATGGTTTATCTGCGAAATCCACCTTTCGAGTTTCTGGAGGCCAGTTTTCGCGGTTTTGCAGGTGTAGGTGTAGCACTGAACACTAAGACTGATTGTTCAAGTAAATGATACTGTATCACTGTGTGCTTTATTTCAGATAAACAAATCTAATGTAGAATTACATCATACTAAAGTGCCCAAGTTTTGCACTTATATTAATTCGTGGGTTACACTTTCAGAATCCCAGCCGAACGAGCAGAAAACGGCAATCGCCTGCTACTACTGTGCTCAGATAACCGGTTATTTCTAGTCAGCACAAACTTCAGACATCAAGAGACATTGTCTAACGTGTCATCCACCGACCTCTATTCAGCGGTGGACACTTGTTGACCACCTTGCTGTCAGTAATCTCTGGAGAGTGTTGGCAGAAGACCAACGCCCTTTCTCAAGGAAGTGGTTGGATAGTGACCACACATTGGTTCAAGCGCGTGTATGTCTGCGTCTCAATGGATGTAGGAAAATTTTGCAGATTGACAATGAGAGCACTAGGACCGATTCCAGTGAGAAATTGATTCGACAGTCATCGGAACAGATGAACTCATTGGTCCAGAAGAAGTTTGCCACCACCTACAAGTCTGCTGTATAAAGAGCGCTGAAGACCATAGCCGACCATCAGAGAATGGTTAAAAAGAGCCACTGGATATCAGCTTTTGAATTAATGGATACACGCAAATGCATACCTTCAGGGTCCTAGTACAATGAAGAGCGAATGCAACTCAAACGTAGACTGACCAAAAGCCAACGCAGTTACCATGAACAGTGATGAGTAACGAAGGCTAGAGATAGAAAAGGCTGCGGTGATAGGTAACAGTAGACAGATATTTAGACTTAATGAGGAACGTGGGATGAAAGGGTTGCTGGGTTAGTGAGACTATAGCTAAGAAGGTTGGGTCTACAATCCACTCGCAAGGGAAACGACTGCATAGATATGCGAAACACGTCGGAAAAGAGTTCGGCTGGCCTCCAGATATCATCCTGTTGTCTGCTATCCAGTCGGATTCTGAATGGAACATTGGGACAGAAGCCCCCAACATTTGCACAAGTCGAGAAAGCTGTAGGCAGCCTGAAAAAAGGAGGAGCACTACGTCCAGACGGACCAGAGGTGTTTACTAATGATGGTAGAGAATTACTGGTCAAATTAACTAAGTTAATAACTGTTCTGTAGAAGTCAGATATGATCCCTTCTAACTGGTGTCAATCACTGATTGTCCTAGTCTTCAGGCAAGGTGAGAAATCCTCTTGCGATATTATTATTTTTATTATTAGTCCTTTGGGTTCCTAGTGAAACATAGGGCTTCAGTAGCACGTCTCCTGTGAACTCTCTTCTCTGAAATCTTTTGA